AAGCAGGGAGACTGCAAACCGTTCTGTTCAACTATCCAACAAAAACTAAGTAATATGAGTATCAATCCTATATACTTAGACATGTACGCATTTATCCATATCTTCGTTTATGTTGAGACCTAACAAAACTTATTACATTAAAATCCTTCTGAACAAAGATTAATAGTATTGCTGGATTTCACATCATGACACTCCAGAATCAGCACTGGGTACTGCAGTGCCCCTTTCTTTCCTTCAAAGTATTTGTTCATTTCATCATGTGTCATAAGATCAGTTCTCATAAACTGTTTATAGGTTTTACACAAGCATGAGTCTTAACATGTATTTCTATCCTTTCTATATTGGAGGGAGAAACAGAACAAAGCAGGACAGAACTAAACATATTCCTATTGACTCATAACACTAAAAAGACATAAAAACTACTGTATAAGGAGTTCTACCATGGTTACTGTGCTGTTTCTTGTTATCATCAACCGAATTGGCTATATCATTAGATAAAGTGTAATTGAACATATCAGTACATAACAGAATTAACAGAGATGCAACTTTGTAGATAGTGTAGAGCTACAAAAATAAGTAGTAATCAAATCAGAATGGCTATTGTGGTGAATCATTGTCATTTTCAGTATAGTTGTCTATACTCCTCAACTTGATACCAGCAACCTAACAGTTTTGAATAAAATCTGTCAATAATAAGCGGTATTCAAACAAGTCAGATTTAACTAAGACCAGTCATGATCAATAAAAAAGGTGGGGGGGCCCCTAGGGATTTAGCTCAGTGGTATAAGCGCCTGCTTTGCAAGCGCATGGTCATGAGTTCGATCCCCGATACCAATAAAAAAAAATCAGTCATGATACAACAGTGTAAGTCATACAGGGATCCTGATTGAGTTAATAGGTAATTAAAGATGACCACTGTGCTATGTCCTGATATCTTTGGGACAGCTGTCTGTGCCCTCAGATCCAGTGCTTGTATACAAACTAGGATGGAACAAGTTCCAACCAAGCAGAGTGATGCGAGTAATAAGGGTTTTAATTCCTGACACACTATTAGCTATATCTTCTGCTGTTTTTTTTGAAGACTATTCCTCCCCTTTACTCCCCCAGAATGACTGTGTAATTTTCAGATCTCCCCATCACTCACGCTTTTATGTTGGGAGGACAACCTGCTATTTACCTAACTATTTCTGAACTTTCTCTCTTCTGGGATGGATTTCTAGTTATATTTCTTCATTTATTAAAGCCTGTCTGTTCAACCTATCCAGAAATACTGGCCCAGTTACCCCTTATTACTCTCTGGTTCCCTATCACATCAAGTTCCATTTTCTCATATTTGATTTTGGTCCGTATAGCCTTCCTCAGGCTAATTACATTTCCTATAAAGTGTCTCTTGGTGGACCTTACCTTTTGATCCACTCTGCCTGCGATTCTCTTTTTTCCCTTAAGTTAGTGCATTTAGGCCATCTATATTAGAAATTGTATCCAACCTTCTTTGCCTTGTTTCTGTTGTGCCCCTTTTTCTGTCATTAGTTGTCTGTCTTTTTCATTTCACTTTCTGTTCCATTCATTGTGGCCTCTCTGCCATTGTTTCTGGAATCTTGGTACTTTTCTCTCTTTTTAGAATGTCCTGCAGTATTCTCTGTAGAGTTGGATTGGTGGTTGCGAATTCCCCCAGTTCCTCAAGCACCTTGTTTCTCCATTAATTCCTAGGGATAATTGTGTAGGACACATCAATCTTGGCTGGAGGTTATTGTCTTTCAAGGCTTGGATTATTTCGCCTTTCACTCTTTGAGATTTGATGGTTTGTGATGAGAAGTCTGCTGTAATTCTGATGGGTGTTCCCTTGTAAATGATCTGTTTCTTGTCTCTGACAGCTATTAATATTCTGTTCTTATATTGGATTTCTGGAATATTATATACCTAGGTGTAGTTCTGTTTTGATTGTAGGTGGCTGGAGTTCTGTATGCCTCATACATTTGAGCATCTTTCTCTTTTCCTATGTTTGGGAAGTTTTCATTTATTATTTCTGTGAATAGCCTTTGCAGTTCCTCTGTTTGTACCCCTGCTTCTTCTCTCACATTCTTTATTCTTAAGTTATAGATTCTCTTGTCATCTTCTAGCCTATGTATTGTTACTGCTTGTTTCCTTGTTATTTTTAAGAGGTTTTTCCTTTCATGCTCCCACATTGCAAACCTGTCCTCCAGTTCAGATAATCTATCCTTAGTTTCTTTCAAGCTGTTATGCCAGCTTTCAATAGGGTTTTTAAGTTTCCTGGTAATTTCTTTGAACCTGCTTCATGTATTCTATGTTTTCTCTATTTTCTCCATCAAACAATAATCCCCTTGTTTTTGTTCTTCCATTCTACCACCTGTTTTTTCTTGGGAGGTGCTTAGCATTTCTTTAGCTATTTTACTTATATCTTGCTTCACTTTGTTAAATACTTCACATTTGAACTCATCTATGAGGTCCCAAAGATATTGCTTTATGTCTATTGGTGCCATGCCTGATATTGCATGTTTTCTGTCCTCATTCTCCTTTGCATTTACCTTTCCTGGATCAGTGTTCTCAGGATTGGGGACCGAGGACCCTTTCTTGTTGCCTCCTCTTCTCATATTTTTTGTTCCTTCCATACTGGTGTATATAGAAGGCCCAGTTTCTTTCTTTGTCAGTTTCAGTTTGTCTGAAGTGTGCTGATTAGGTGGTCCCACCCACTGCAGTGTACTAGGAGGTATATACCCATGTAGCCTATGCTGGGCCCGTCCCTCCAGGTCAACCTTCTGAAGGCTTGACTCCTAGGGTGCACCACCAGGCACAGGGACCTAATTTGGGCTAGCCTCTTGTGCCTCAATCTGTGGTGTCCCCCAGGTCAAGCGCTCCCCACCAATCCTGCTTGAGAGGGGAATATGTGACTGAAGTCACTGTATCACCTGTTCTGGCCAGTCTGCCTGGTCCCAGAATGTCCTCTGTTGGAGCCTCCTTGTCTATGGAAAGGTCCCTGGTCCTCTCACTCACTGCAAGTTGATGCAAGAATCCCCACCAGCTCTGCTCTCAATTCGGTTTGCCAATTCCCGCTCTCAGAGCGTTCGCATCTCTATCCCAATGCAGGCGTGGCAGCTGCTGAGTATTCAAGCCACGGGTTCCAGCAGTGGCACCTAGACTTTAGCTGTTCTAATTGTAGCACTGGGATTGCATTTCCAATTGTTTTCTCTCAGCTTAGTTTGTTCCTGGGTCGGCAGGGTATATCTCCCTCTGCTTAGGACTCCTCACATCGCACCATTCCTGGAATCTAAGCTGGCTATCTCAGAAAGTCTCTGTAGCTGCTATTGTCTATCTGTCATCTTCTCTCCACCCTCCTCTGATGACCTTTGGACTTGATCCTCATGCTTCTACTTTCAAGAGAAAGTTGGATGATGGCTCAGATAGAGGAAAAGAAAGCAAAAGAGAAAGAAAAAAGAAAACAAAACTAAAAGAATCCTAGGGGGTGCACAAAATTTCAAAATAAGCTTTTTATATAATAGATTCTTTATTTAAATTGCTCAGAGCATCAGTAATTCTCTTTCACACCTTTACTTCAACCTTAGAGCTATTTTTCAGTTTTTTCTCTGTAATCCAAAAAAGAAAGTCTTTAATACAATTTTGATGTTATGTTTTATATTAGGTAGTCTCTACCATATCAGCAGGCCATTAAATATTTATAGTAAGAAATTATAATCTCATTTAAAACAACACATGTGCTTAAACACTACACTGACAAAATTTTTTCTTTCAAGTTTCATACAGAACAAAATTGAGGTTTCTCTTAGCTGTGGATAATGTTGGCTCCTTATACTTACCATGAAATATTTCTTTTAAGTGTTGTATTTGTAATTAATGGTACAAGCACAGTATGCTTTTAATGAAGTATGAGAATGTTTTCGTAGCTAGTTTATCCTGTTTCTTCCATGCCTCCTCCTAACATATTGCCTTCTACACATAACGTGCATCAGAGTCAACACTCAGTTCTGTCCATTTCTCTGGCTGAAAAGAATAAAATTAACACTGTGATGATCTAGTACCAAGACCATACAGTCACTGAGGGAAGATTACTTTGCATATATGTCAGGATTTCATTTACTATTACCACAAACTACTGTTTCACATATTATTCCTTAAAGTGTTCATAAAGTGGGCATTTCTTATTTTAAATTACTTACTTTACTTTTACCAATCTGCAATGATTATCTTAAACTACACAGTGGACTTGAAAGTTTTTAAAAATCAAAGTGAATTTATAGCATGAATTATAGTAGAATATCAAAGTGTTAATGATTCAACAAGACCACAATCAGGGCACTATCCTAAATCAATGATAACCACATTGAATAATCACTAGATAAAATGAAAAACTGTCTACATCAGATGAATACTATTAATGATAGCATTTGTATTTTTAGTAAAATAGCAAGAATAGCAGTAAAGTACAGTAGCATTCAGGCTATAATATCACCAAGTGAAAATCTATAGACAGATAAGAGATTTAGGAGCTTTAGGGGAACCAGGGGGAACCATGTTAATCTAGATTACAAAAAACCCTTCCAGGGAAAAAAATAAAACAGCAATTAGGTTGACTATAGTACTTTAATGTTTCAAAGAAAACTTATTAAAATACATATTTTTAAAAGTCTTACATTCTTGACATACATCTTTACCTACCTTTCTAAAAATAGTAGGAGTAAACACAATTGTAGAAAATGCACGTCAGTCTTGGAGTGGTACAATACTATGGATTTAAAATCTTGATACACTCCTAGTTTCTGCTGCTTTGAAGTCAAATTATGGCACGGAATTTATGTGAGGTTGGTTCCAAAATGCAATATTGGGTCCTAGGCCATTATTGGTAAATTGTGCTGTTTTGGCACAACTTCTCCAGTCATGATACCATAAATCAAAAGGAAAAATATTTAACCAACCAATTATTTGAGATACCAAGGAAGGCAAGGAAATCAGTTTTGTAAAAACACTTGTCCCTCTTTTTTAAGCTTCTTTATTTACTCCGGATAGTTAACAAAACAGTGCCCAACAAAGTGAGCAGAATTTGCGCTCACTATTACTGCATGGATAGACAGAGCCATGTGCATTTTTGTTTATATACGCCATCTCCGATCACTGCGATATGGTACACAAGAACAGAGACTCAGAGGCACAACAGTAATAAATACATTTAACATAGTCAAGCATTCAAAAGATAAATGCAATCATATAGCAAAAAAAATCCATCTGTAATTTTGACCTTTCCGAGGATGGGAAGAATCTTATGGCGTGTCAGAAATCTCTATAGCAAAGATTCCTGTAACAGAAAAAAAATTATGGAGATTCGTATTTTAACTCAGTTACTTAAGCAGACAGAAAAATATATTCTAGTATTTACTTAAGTAGTATTTTTCCCAGCTTCTTAAAAGAAAAATGCATGTAGTTTTTCATTTAGTTTTCACAAACTGTGACATAATTCTAAGCAACAATAAAGAAGGGTGAACTATTGATGTACTCAACAATTTGGACAGACGTCCTAGGCATTGTTGCCCAATGAAAGAAAGCCATTCCAAAGGATTACATTCAGTGAATAATTCCATTTATTTAGCCACTTCAAAATCACAAAATTATAGAGCTGGAGAAGAAATTATTTTGCCAGTTGATAGGGACGAAGAGAGGACAATTATAAAGAGGTGTCACAGGACAGTGGACTCATCGGTGCTGATGGAACAGTGATCTTGCCTAGCATCTTGACTAGTGGTAGACAGTTCACTGAGTTTCCTCACTCTCTCCAGTTCTCACTCTATGTACTGCTATGTATTCCCAAGAGGTTGGATCCTTAAAAGACTTACTCTTCTAGGGATCGATCTAGGCCTCGGTCAGGAGATCGATGGTGAACACGTTCTGGTGAATGACATTTTGTATTTGGCTTCATTGAGCTTGGATGATAAGCATTGCTTGAATAATTCTGGCGGCGAAGTTCTTGGACAGCCCTCTCCCTGAAACAAAACAGTGATGCTTTTAAGTGTTGTAGATTGGTGTTATTGAAACCGTCATAAAACTGTAGCTCAATACATACTTCAAAATGTAACCATCATGAAATAATTAAAACATTATTATTTATGAAACAACACTTCAGGTTAAATATTATGTAGGTCACAACCTTACCTTTCAAAACGTTCTGTCCCCAGTTGTCGCTTGGTAATGTCTAAGTCAGCTTCCAGTTGTGTTACAACATTCCTGAACTGGGCCACATCCCTACTCTGGATGGCCCTGGATAAATGAAGGTAAGAATGACAGTTGATTAAATCTAAAACATGGCTGTGGCTTACAAGTGTATTAAGCCATGTTCACAGTGATGTCTTAGGTGGATCTAAGTCACACTGTGATTTTTATGGACAGGTTTATTAGTACATCTAAAATATGCTAATTTACCAGCCTCCTTGAAAAGCCTAAATAATCCTTGTCCCCATTCAATTATATAAACATTTTCTATGTCAGCAACCCTGTGTATACATGAAGCATATAGAGATAATATAACATATATCTATATTATCTATTAGCTACAAATAATGTTATGAAAACACTTTGAAGTATTATTACATAATTGTTAACCAGTACTACAGTATCAAGTAACACTGGAATTCAGTAGTACCACCTTGTGTACAGTATATTTTATGTATGTTACTTCAATTAGGTGCTTTTATATACACTTAAAATAAAATTTAACCTACATATTAACACAAGCATAAAACTCTTCAGCTCAACAGAATGTTCCTTAAGGTTAAATATGGGTGAAAACTCCTGTGATAAGGCACAGGATTAGTGAGAAAGATAATGACAGATGCACGCTGCTTGCACAGAACACTCTCTGCTCTTTGCTTGCTTTTAGGATGGAGCACAGACTGCTGAATTCTAAACGTTAAAGATTAAGAACACAAAAGTTTAATCATGGTAGCCTGCTTTAAGTGATAGTCCCAGTCAGTCTAAAACAGAGTGTACCTCTGTGGTAGGAGTTTTGGCACTGTTTCCCAGACAGATTTCCTTCTCCCTGCTAGTGAAAGGGATCCTGCAGAACCAGTTGAAAGTATCACAACAGCCCAGTACCGTAATTGAACAGAATGACTCAGGCACAGCCGCTAGGACCCAAGAGCAGTCTCTGAGAGAAATGCACCCTGCCAGTGCAAGGCCCTGCCGAGGCCATGATTTCTATGCTTCCCCAGAACCCCAGGTTCAGATGCAAGGGCAGAGTAAGGAGCATGAAGAAGTGTTATAGATGGGACAGCTAAGAATAGAGGTTAAGGAATCTCATTGGTTTTTGTAAGAGGTAACCACGTTTAATTAAAAGAAGAATTAATCATCCAGGCCGATTATTTTGACCCAAATCTCCAGCCAGGGTTCTTATAATAAAGCACTAGTGGAGCCAAAGATTCTACAACAAACAAGACCAAAATCAATGGTCTGAGAAAGTGCTTGAAATTTTGTCAACTCAGCTTTTCCTGGTCCCAGTGTACACTCTTAGGAATGAAGGAAATACGCTGGGACAAATAGAAAAACCAGGGATCAATACCAGCTGGCTGCAGAGCACCCGCTTTCTTCCACTCTAGTTTCTAAAGGCAATTATTTAGAGCAGACATCTATTACACCCAAACTGCTGCTTGCAAACAATCAGCAGAGATGGCTCAATTTAAACATCCGATAAGAAAAAAACAAGAGATATACTAAATCTTAAGCAAATCACGGTAATTCTGACCCTCAGGTTAATTAATGGCAAACAATGGGAGCTAAATTCTCCAGAGGGCTGCTCTAAAATTCTACTAAAGTACCAAAAATTAAGAATATGACTTTAAGTTCTTACATTGCTACAAACTCACATTTTATTTTCTGCCAAGCAAAGGTGCTCTTTAAGCAGCTGAATTTCAGATTCTTTTTCTTGAAGTGCTATCTGAGACTGATATTCTTTGTCTCGATTGGCCACCAACAAAGCTTCTAGATTCTGCATGGAGATTCTCTCATTTGTCATCTGACTCCTGAGGAGTTCTATTTCAGAACGAGCAGAATCTAACTCATTCTCCATCTGTACAATAATAGGAACATATCTGGACTTAGTTCCATTCATTCAAGTAACTGACCTTAGCAGGGACTCAAAAGCTTTTGTAGTCTGTTATAAACTGGCAACCACCTCTTAACTTCTTTGAAATTATGTCTCCTTAATAAATGTACATAGCATACATACACACAGTGTCACTTTATCCATCTCTGATAATACCAGAAAACTCCTTACATCAAGTCTCATTAACTCCAAACTGCAATCAATTTCCATTTCCAGTTTTGATTTTTTAATGCATTTATGCAAGTCTGACATGGTGATGTCTGTGACTATTGTTTGAGTCAGGCAAGTTATAAACACCTACCTTCTGGAGCATTACTGTACTCTACAGTTAAGGAACACATGCAGTAAATATACTTTCCTTCTCTTGTCTAAACCTGTGGGAAATCTCCCTTTTGAAAATTGTGAGCTGAGGTTAAAAACTACAGTAAAAATTTTTAATAAAAATTAAAAAATCTATTACAGTTAAAGACAGATGGCCATTAATTCCCCTCAAAATGCTTCCTCCCTCAGTTCGAACACAACACATCCTTCTTGTCACTTTCTGAAGCAGTTCTTGAAGTTCTTTGTGTGTCTTTGCATGGCTGCCTCAATGTGCCGAATCAATTTAAAATGTTTATGGATATTTTTGTCAAAGACATCAAGGTGTGTCCTCATCCACTTCATCTGCTGGATTGGGCAGTGTGCAACTTCCAGCTCTTCCCCAAAGTTAAACTAACCATGAAAAGTAAATAAATGTTTTATATTGATTTAAGGCAGCTACAATAGTATAGCTAAAGACAAGAAAAAGAACTTCCAGAACTGCTTCAGAAAGTCGCAAGAATAATGGGATAAGTGTATTCAAAGTGAAGATTAATGGCAATGTGTCTTTTACTATAATAAATTCAACAAAAATTCTACATTTATCATATTTTTCTAACCCACTTGGCCTAAAATATGTTCTGTGTGAAATTTCCCTTCAAAAGCAGGAACACCAGTCATTATTGTTTTTTTTAAATTCCTTATTTTATATTATACATTATAATAAATTCTATATCCATTAAAGTTATACGTGAAAAGATAAACTTCAAATTTTAGTAAAGATAAATAAATTAAATTATTGGGGTGAGGACAGTTAGGTAGGTAAATGGGGGAGGAAGATAAATATAATACAGAAATAAATTTATCCAGAAAAATAAACACCTTGATAGTTAATACAAACTTTACCAAATTTTGAAAGAAATCTACTGGAAGAAAACTCAGTAAACAGTTAATATCCTTACTAATAAACTCAAACAAATTGATGAGGAATATGAACTAGCTGTATGATCAGAAAGTTTATAATAAGTGAACAGTAATCATACGACAAATATTTATCCTAGCTAGTAGTTAGATATAAACTTAAGTGAGATACTATTTATAGTCTGAAAGTTTTTCTATCTTAACATTCCTGACTTTTTGGGCTGGATATGTATCTGGTGTGTGGGACTGCACTGTGCATTACAGGATGCTTATCGTGTGCCTGGCACGATCTATATAGAGATGGTTTGAGTGCTTCCCTGCTCTGGTCATGATAGTCAAAAACATATCTAGAAAAAGTAAGAACGCATCTCGATATTGCTGTCTGCCTTCAGCTGCACTGAAAAGTGTAACACAGACATTGGTCTAGACTGCTACACTGGCAGATTTCTGGCTTTGAAGAATGTGAAAAGAGGTCATGGTGATCTCACACGCTTCCCCAGCAGCAGTGCAGACAGGAACATCACTGTTCTACCAACTGTTTTCATGGCACATAACTCACAAACGACACAGCTCACTATTCAGAGCATATGACTCAATGATTTTTAAATATATTAACAGAGTTGTGTGGTCATAACCACAATGGGTGTTAGAACTTCATTACCCAAGAATGAAACTCAGCACCTGTTAGCACTCAACCTGCCCTCACCTCCTTGGGCCTGACAATCCTTAATCCACTTCTGCCTCTGTGATTTGCCACATTCTGGGAATTTCAAATGAATGGAATCATGCAGTAGGTATGTGGTCTTTTTTGATAGACTTTCTTCACTTAGAGTAATGCTTTCAAGAGCCATCAATAGTTTAGCTGGTATTAGTAGTTTGTTATTTTTATTGCCTAGCAGTCTATGGCATAGACGTCACAAATAACTATTAATAAATCAAAAGTATTTAAGTTATTACAAACTTGGATAATTATATACACAATACTGTCATGGCACTGGTATACAAGTTTTTGTGTACACATATGCTTTCATCACTCTTGGCTAGCTAGAATTGGAATTTCTGGTCTTTATGATAATTCTTATTTCTAACACTTTGAGAATCTGCCAAAATGTTTTCCAAAATGGTCTCCCTGGGTTACAGTCCCACCATTGGTGTTCTAAACCCTAGTCAATGTTTAATTATCTTTTTGATTGTAGCCACCCTACTGGTGGTGAAATGCTCTAATTTTGATTTGCTTTTCCCTATTAGTGGTGCTGAGTACCTTTCCAAGTGCTGACTGGTCATTTGTGTCTGTTCCCTAGAGGAATGTCTACTCTTTGCTTGTCTTTTTATTTGAGTTGCAAGACTAAGACTTCTTTGTACATTTGAAATACGAATCTTGTCAAGTAAATGATGTGCAAGAGTCTTTTTCCCATTCTGTGCCTTACTGTCACTTTCGTGTTGATATCATTTGCAGCAATAAAGAGGAGGTTAATTGTTTTATGAAGTCAATTTGATTCTTTTTTTTCTTTTATTTTCTTGTATTTTTGATATGAACCTGTGAAGATGCTACTTAATCCATGGTCATAAATATTTACTTTCACATTTTCTTCTTTAGGGTATTATAGTTTTACATACAGATCTTAATTCATTCTATCATTATGTATGGCATGAGGCTGGGACCCAACTTCATTCCTCTCCATGTAGATAGATGTAGAAGACTGATTTGATAGTGTTTGCTATAGATTTTTCATAGATGTTCTTTATGAAGTTGAGAAAGTTTACATCTGTTCTCTAGCTTTGAGTGCCTTTTTCATGCAAGTTTTGAGTGTCTTTTGTCAAATACTTTTTCTGAATCTATTGAAATGAACATTCTCTGTTGTTTTCTCTTGACAGAATTTCTTATCTAATTTTTATTATTTAGTTTATGCTTATTACTTTAGGTTTAATATGCTGCTCCCCCTCCCCCAGTGTCTTACATGGAAGGTTAGATTAGTGATTTGAGATCTATAAAAAAATTCCTAGAACTGTGAATGAGTTTGGAAAGGTCACAAGGTAAAGCTAGATTAAAAATTAGTTTTATTTCTGTACACTGGCAAGGAACACATAAATAGCAAAATTAAAATAATACTTTTTAAAGCAATTTTAAAAACGAAAAGATATTTTGTATTTTGTTGGTATAAATCTAATAAGACATGCACAGAATGTATATGCTGAAAAATACACAAAGGTAATAAAAGGAAATAAGACACACTGTGTTCATGAACTGGAAGCCTCAACAAAGCAAAGACACTAATTCTCCACAAATTGGTATTATATATATATATATATATATATATATACATATATATAAAATAGAACCCTACCAAAATCCTATCACCATTTTATTTCATAAATATAGAAAAATTATACTTGTATGGAAAGGCAAAAAAACCTGGAATAGCTAAAGCAATTTCAGAAAAGAATAAAGTAGATGGATTTAAACAGTTACTATATAATTGCAGTCATCATGATTTGTGTGGCATTGGTGAAAAGACAGACACATATATCAGTGTAGAACAGAAAACCAAAAAATAGGCTCAACACAGATAGGGTCAACTTATTTTTCACAAAATTATAAAATCAATTAAACAGCTTGTACTATTGTTCAATAGCTTTTTCAACAAATTGTACTAGAGCAACTGGACACAAAATCAAACAGAAAAGCTTTGTCTCAAACCTTACACATTTTGCAGAAATTTAATTCAAAATGGATCATGCAATTAAATGTAGGAATTAAAACTATAAAACATTTAGAATAATACTAGGGAAAAATATTTGAGACCTTTCCGTGTAGATTGATGTAGAAGAATTACAAAGAATTATTAGACTTAAAACCAAAAACAGAATCCATAAAAATCATAAGTTAGAATTCTTCTAAACTTAAAATTTTGTTCTGAGAAAGATGCCAGTAAGAATATAAAAATCACTAGCTCTCTATATAGTAAAACAGGATAAGTGCAAACCACATAGCAGATAAAGGTCTAGTATCTAGAATATATAAACACTATAGTGCAGACTAAAAAGAACAACAATTCAATGAGAATGAGAATTCAATGAGATTCAATGAGATTCAATGAGTATCAACCAAAGATACTGATATTTCACCAAAGAAGATATATAGATGGCAAATATCTACAGAGTTTTTATCTCAATAGCTACTAGAAGAAGGCATATTAAAACTGCCACAATATACCACTTATACACATGGTAGAATGATTAAAATAAAAAATACTGACATCAAATATCAGCAAGGATACAGAAATATAGGATTAACTTGTATATTACTGGTAGAAATGCAAAATGGTAGATACTTGGAAAAACAGTCTGGTACTTTCTTTTAAAAAACTAATCATGCAATTAATATATAACCTAAAAATTGCATTTCTGAGCATTTACAAAAAATGAAGACTTATGCATCCATACACACACACACACACACATCTGTAACTACCTGTAATGCCCCCAATTGGAAGCAAGCTAACTGGTTTTCAGTGGGTGAATGGTTCAACAGTGTTATGCTGATAGTATGAAATATGATTCATCAATCAAAAAGAATTAATAATGATATATGCACCAAACTGGAGGACTCTACATAGATTATGTTAAGTGAAAGAAGCCAATTCTAAAAGGTTACTACTGTGTGATTCCATTTATAAATGTTACTGAAATGACAAAATTACAGACATGAAGTACAGATTAATGGTTGAAAGAATTAAAGAGGGATACAGATGATGCTACAAAGGACAACACAGTGGATACTGGGATGAAATGTTCTGCTTCTTGCTTGAATCATAATCAACATCTTGATTGTGATATCAGACCACAGTTTTGCAAGATGTTACCAGGTGAGGAAAACCGAATAAAGAGCAAATAAGACTGCTCCATATTATTTATTAAATTAGATGGAAATCTACCATTATCTCCAGACAAATGGTTAGGAAAAAATTTGAATGCCCACTCTCTGCATAATACAACTGAAAAAACACACACAAAAAGTAATATACCCCTTGCATTTGGGATTACAACTTATTGAAGACAAAGATATATGCATAAATAAATAACTGCCAAGGAGAAACAAATTAATTTTAGAAGCATTTTAATGCACTGTGGGAACAGGAAATAAGCTACAAAATTTAGAGTAAAGGCGTTTAAAGTATTTTTAAATTAAGATAACTCATTATGTATAGTCCTGCTAAGGGCAATGATTTCAAAACATTAAAAAGATACTGGAATATACTGACTTGGTCACAGTATACTATTTTTATAAGCTTTGGCATTATATCCTTGGTACTTCAATTTTATATTATTTCAGTTGTTAGAACAACATGTAGGACTTGGGCAATTTGAAAATATCACGTAAAATGTAATTTTCATAAAAAATTATGAAAATACATACTGTTTCAATTTTTATAGCAAGCATCTACTCATGAGTTACTTTCATCATTAAAAAATTTTCCCTAAAATAAAAAATAACTGCAAGAAGAGTGAAAATTTGGGAATGCATCACTTCATTAAAACATGTGTCTAAAATTAACTAGAGGGTTGGGGGTATAGCTCAGTGGTGCAGCACCTGCCTGACAACCATGAAGTCCTAGTTCGATTCCTGATGTCAAAAAATAAAATTAAGTTACATTAACTAGATACATGATTCTCAAATGCATCATCAAACAGTAGATAACAGAATGAGAATTTCAACAGGGTTTGGTAATAACACTAATGTAACCATGACCAAAATTTGCTGCAGCACTGTACAGCTGCTATGTATGGCTCTCTAGGATCTGGTTTCCACCTCTCCAGACCCAGCCTGCAGCCAATTCCTGCCATGCAGCCACATCGGCCACTTTGAGTTGCTTACTGTTCACTCAAGAATCCACACACACACACACCTGACACCTGAGGCTGAACAGGAATTCCCTCTATGAAACTTTGATAATAAGTATTTAACAATGTACTGTTTCTTCCAAATTATTTGTGTGTCATTACCTAGAGGACCTGGATGTGGGGGCAGAGCTTACATCTTCTGGACATTAAATTCCCAGTGGCAGGCAAAATGTCAGCCTCAAGGCAGGTACAATCAATTGAATTACAGTTTGAGGAACCCAGCCAATTAGTAAACAAAATTAGCTTAAGAAAACACATTCAGGGCCTGGGATTTAGCTCAGCCAGCTCAAGCACTTGTCTGGTAAGTGCAAGGTCATGAGTTTGATCACTACCACAAGAAAGAAAGAAGAAAGAAAGAAGTAAGAAGAAAGAAAGAAAGAAAGAAAGAAAGAAAGAAAGAAAGAAAGAAAGAAAGAAAGAAAGAAAGAAAGAAAGAGGCAGATAGATAAGATAAATAGATAGATTGATTGATTCAGTGCTGGGATTAGGCTCAATGGTGCAGCGCCTGACCTGGCAAACATGAGGTCCTCAGCTTGATTCCTGGTATACAAGAGACAGAGAGACAGACAGAGGACATACCATTCAGGGTGTAATTAAGCTGAATAACCCTCAAACTCATAGCCATTTGCTAACTGCTATGTCAGTGTGCTTTATAATGCTTTAGGCTAAAAGTAAAACAAATTGTATACTCAAAAGCATGTCTGTCCTTGAATATTGGGAATATAAATGTCACAATTAATTGAATTTAAAAAAATAAAATCTAAAAATCAAAGCTAAAGTAGAAAGATACAATTTAATGTAATACTTAATAAAAAATAAAACAACTTTCTTCAAAATTGTAGTATGAGTATTAAGAATAACTGCAATTTTTAAAGAACCCTTTAAAATGAATTATAGCTGGATATAGTGGCACACATGTTTAATTCCAGTACTCTGGAGGCTGAGGCAGGAGGACTGCCATGAATTTAAGGCCAGCCTTGACTACATAGCAAGACCCTGTCTCAAAAAACAAGCAAAAATGTAAAATATATTACATACCATTTCTATTTCTTGATCCTTAGCAACCAGCTGTCGATTCAGAAGTTCTTTGCTTGAGTCAAGTTTAATACAGAGCTCCCTTGTGGAAGACAAATCTGCAAGGGCAGACACTTTTTCAAACTGAACCTTCTGTAGCTCCTCCTCCATCTTTACAAGAGATTTGTGCAAAGTTGAAATCTGGGACTTGTAAGACCTTTCTGCATTTAAGTGCTGCAAGGATAAGATCACTTTTACTACACATGTGGAGGGAAGTGAAGCAAGCCTTCTAACACTAGTACCTTGGACCACAAGAACCATAGATGGGACTGGTGTTCAGCACACTCTGGGAAAGATAAACTCGGTCTGCAAACCTGGTTAGGTAAAATCAGTGAGTAGGGTGGTCACTTGGTCATTTAAAAATATAATTAGATAAAACCCTCTTCCCACTTCAAAGTCTCCAGTGCCAAGGCTAGTTGAGATACACACACTTGGTTTATACTCTTACCTGTATTTGTCAGTCTTAATTACGAGACAAATATTGTTACTAAGCCCCAGTGTGGGTCACGGTTTCACTCACCCACTCCCCAACCCTTGGCTGGCATGCTGATATCAATCACACCACATGAAACGAGGGATGGCAAGTCTGACCCCTAGTTATCCCTCATACTGAGGGGAGACCCCAGGCAAGTCTAAGTTAAGCATACATCCAATAACAGGAAATAAGAGCATGTTTTCAAAACCTGATATGAGATTCAGGTTACATAAATGCGTCCAAATGTTCAAAACAATCCCTTTTCCTTTACTTTCCCTTCAGCAAAATGCCTTACATAAGAGCCCTTGCCACCTACATAGAAGTATTTGCTTTCTATAATGTGAAGATAACAGCACTGAAATGTGGAAATTTGTATGTGCTTTTACCAGAGCTTTTACAAGTATAAAGCACTAAAAAATTTTCCTGGCTGTTATTTGGTCACAGTTCATCCCCACCTTCTTCCCTCCATCCTTCCCTTCCTTCCACACTCATGCTTCTCATTCGCCAACCTGTTAGCCCTACCCTCATTCACTCCCTCAACCCCAATAGTCATGGGATATGTCCTATGTTCTAGTCATTCCGCCTAGGTGGATATTCAATTAGAAGAAAAATTGCCTATGATCTTGTAAAACTTCCAGATCCCTGGCAGAGTCACACATCAGTCAAATAAGGATACATGAATACATATTAAGATAATACCTCTAGAGAGTAAGTAAGTGACAAGGAAACTGATCCAGATTGGCACCAGCCAAGTAATTTAAAAGCTTGACAGGATAAAACCTGATGTTTAAAAAAATACAGTTCTCTATAATATAAAATTTTAAAAGTCTAGAATACAACCAGAGATTTCTGGAGCCTGAAGGTATGAATATGAGATCCATAACTAAGAAAAAAATCAGTCAGTACATAGAAGCAAGTATTGCAGAGATTAGCCAAAAAAGGACATTAAAACAGCTATTATAAACACACTCAGTATATATGTATGTATGTATGTATGTATACGTATGCATGTATTTTTGAGACAAGGTCTCGCTATGCAGTTCAGGCTGGCCTTGAACTCACTGTGTAGCTCATTTGGGCCTCCAATTTGTGGTTATCCTCCTGTCTCAGCTTTCCGAATGCAGGGATTATAGGTATGCACCACAATGCCTAGCCAACACATTCATTACAACCAAGAATTTGAAGAGAAAACAAGAAGAGAAGTGAAATAATCAAATAGAATACTTGGAAATGAAAAATACAGTGTCTTAAATAACAGAATAAATATTTTAAAAGCTACACTTAAACATATATCCAAACTGCAAAAAATCAACACAAAGAGAAAGTCCTGAAAAAAATCTTGAAGGAAGAGAAAAGAAACAAAAATAAGAAGTGCATCAGACTTCTCTTCAGAAATCATGCATTACCACATAGAAGAGAGAAGTATTTAAAGGAAGGAAAACGCCTTCCACCCAGAACTCTGTATCCAAAAATTTCTTTCTAAAGTTACGGAGAAATACTCCCTCAAAGAAAAATTGAGAAAATCTTTTGTTAGTAGAACTATCTTTCAAGAAATGTTCAAAGAAGTTTCTCAGATACATAAAGTATCAAGGCTGGGTGGTGGCGCGTGTCTGTAATCCCAGAATCTGAGAGGCTTAAACAGGAGGGTCTCCGCAAATTTAGGCTAGCTTGGGCCATATGGTGGACTTGAGGCCAGCCTGAGCTTCACAGCGAGACCCTGTCTCAACAAAAAAATCATATATCAGTGAAAGAATAACTGAAGATAAAAATCTTATCTTTTTCTTATTCTTAATTGATATACCAGATAGCAGTTAGTTAAAAATAATATCAACAATATATTGGATTATTTTATCTTATAAATAGATAAAATTAAAGATAGCATGGAAATGAGTGACGAACTTTAAATATATCACTATAAGGTGCCTGCACTATTCATGAAGTAGCATAGTGTTACCTGAAAAGTTATACTAGATATGTTTATATTGCAAATTATAAAGCTACTACAAAAAGTTTTTTAAAACATAATAAATATTCTAAAAGAAAAAATAGAATTGAATCATATAAAATGCTCAATTAAAACCATAAAAGACCACAAAAGAATAAAAGAAACCAAGAACAGATAAATAGAAAAGTTACAAATACACAACTAAAGTACAAATTATCAAGATGGATTGCAAAAAGCCTAAGTATATATTCACTTACAATAAACTCTCATGGTATAAAGATGCTAATACTAACTAAGGGAAAACTGGTGTAGCTATATGAATTTCAGACAAAGCAGACTTCAGAACAAGAAAATTTAACAGAGATAGTGTTATAAAATAATAAAAAAATAAATTTTTCCAAAACAACATAGTAATACTTAAGGTGTATGCTCCTCTTGGAGAGGAGGAAGGGCCCCAAAGGAAGTGGAAGGTAAGAGAGAGGGAAGTACATAGACTGAAAATGTTACATGCATGCACCAGTTCCCCGAACAAACATCACAATTCTGTACTACTAACATAAAGTAAACAAAGTGTAACTTCAAACTATGTCAACATATATGAACTGAAACATAAAGGAATGTCAAGGAGAGATGCACAAATCTACTGTTATACATTATTATCAGAGAATGCAACATTTATGTATCCATAATTGATAGATCCATGAGGCAGAAAATCAGTAAAGATATAGTTGGACTGAGCAGCAGTATCAATCAATTGGATCCAGTTGACATTTCTGTAGAATCCTTTATCCAATAGCAGTAGGATATACACTGCTCTCGGGTTCACATGGAATATTCACTAAGGCAGACTATATATGTCCCATACACCACATGGGAATAATAACAGAAAGAAATGAAAAGACTAGAACAATTGTAAGTAATATTTTTATAATTCATTGGAATTTAGTTGGTATAAATCAGAAGTAGATTCTGGTAAATCAGATGTTTATGCCAAACATCAAAGGGGTAATTCAAAAACACATAGTGAAAAATCACTAATGAAATTTAGATGATTTGTTAGATAATATTCACTTAATTCCAAAGGAAGCAATAAATTAAGACTAGAAGAAAATAAGATATGTTATCTGGAAAAAGTAAAATGTCAGATATAAACCCAGTTATATCGATATTAAATATGAAATGGTTAAGCAGTTCAATCAAAAGGCAAAAATTATTAACCCTAAAATTCACATGGAAACTCACAAAACGCAGAACAGCCAAACAATCTTGAAAACTAAAAAGAAACCAGGAAGACTTGCACTTTCTAATTTCAAAACTAACCACAGAGCACCAGAAATGATGACTTCATGGTCCTGGCCAAAAGATGGACACATAGATCAATGGCACAGATCTGAGCACCAGGAATAAGGGCATTTGTCTGCAGTCTATTAATTTTTGATGGAGGTGCTGAGATCAAAGAAGAAATCTTTTTGACAAATGCTGGTAGGCCAGCTAGATAGTCATATGTGAAAGGTAACTTTGCATCATGTACTTTACACTATGTAGAGGAACTAACCAAAGATGGATCAAGTCAGGGGGCTGTAGTGAGAGCTGAAGCATACAGTGTTTTTCTTGATGTCATGAAAATGTTTTAAAAATGTGTTGGTGGCACAGCTCTATAAGTATACATATCCTATTGAACCATACTCTGGGTGAGTTTTCTGGCATGTGAGTTATTCCCAATAAAGCTATTACATAAAAATGGGTAGGATCCAGCTAAAATAGTAGGGTAGGAAGAGAAAAATATGTAACTTTAAAGGATAAAGGAAGATGTTATCAAACCAATGGTCTAAATGTCTATCTTAAAATGGGAAAGGAAGAACAAATTAAACCCAAATTATGTGAAGAAATAAAAAAGTAAAAAATCAATAAAATAGAAAACCAACAATAGAGAAAAATAAGTGAAACTAACAATGCTATATAAAATATATAATGTACAAAATATAAATACCTGGCAAGTAAATGTGTGAAATGTTAAAAAGAATCCACGTAGCTTAGTAACAAAATGACAAACATTCCAGTAAAAAGAGAGCCAACAGGTTTGAACAAAACTTCACAAAAGAGGACAGATTAGTGACTAAAAAGCATGTGAAAAGCTGCTCCATGTCATTAGTCAGGAGGGAAATGCAAATTAAAATTAACAACATAAAGTACTGGAGAAGATGTAGAATAAGTAGAACTATCATAAAACACAAGTGGCACAAGCACTTCAGAAAATAATCTGTCAATTTCTTACAAAGTTAAGCACACTTGCCAGCTATTTCATTTCTTGTTATTGACCAAGAAAAATTACAATTTAGGTGCATGCATAGACTTGAACATAATGTACAGAAATTTTATTCTTTATGACCAAAAACTAAAAATAAGTATATCTCTCCAAATTCATGCACTGAAACCCAACCCACAACGTGACTGAACTTGGAGAGGGGACATTTTAAAGAGTTAATTAAGGTTAAATGGGAAGACGTGAGGGCAGGGCTTAGCCACAGAGCTTTGCTTAACAAATGGAAGGCCCTGGCTTTGATCTGCAGTAGACACACACACACACACACACACACACACACACACACACACCTAGAAGGTTAGGTGGGCCTAGAAGGGTGGGACCCTAATCCAAGATGACTACTGTCCTTAGAAAGGAGCAGCAGACACGTAGGATGTGCAGCCACTGAGGGCAGCCATTTATGGAACAGGGAGAAAGGCCCCAGAATTCCAGCACTGTGATCCTGAACTTGTAGCCTCCAGAACCGTGAAAAAATATAAAGCTACTGTTGAAGGCACCTGGCCTGTGGTATTTCTTCTTCTTTTTTTTTTTTTTTTTTTTGGTGGGGAGTGCAGTATGATTTTTAAAAAATATATATAATTAAGTTTATTGGTACATTGTAGATATACATAGTGATCTCATATTCATCATAAGGAATTTGTACTTGTATATAATATATATTTTGATTTCTCTATTTCTCCCAATACCCCCTCCTCCCTTCAACCTATCTTCCCCTCTCTATTTACAAAGGTTTTTGTCCATTTTATCCTATTTTAAAATATTTTTTCCCTCTTCCTTTCTTCCTTTCTTACAGTTCCCTAGCAGACTAATGCATAATTTAAGTGCCCACCCACAGGTGAATACAGTAATGATAAAGCTACATGGAGGAATGCTATACAATAAAAAAGAATAAATAACATATAATAGTATTTATGAACTTCCAAAACATGCTAAATGAAAGAAGCCAAGGTACAAATAAGTACATACTGTATGATTCCATTTTCTACCATTTCCAAACTAGTAGAAAAGGCAAATCTAATCTGAACTGACAGAAGACAACCACCAGGGTTGTAAGATTTGGGATTTGATGGATGACTATAAAAGGAGCTGAGGGACTGTTAGGAAGATGATGGAAATTGTTCTACATCTTTATTGTGGCGGTAACTGCACACTTTACTTATTTATCAAAACTCACTAAATTATGTATTTTAAATGAGTTTCATATAAATTATACTTCAATACAGTTGATTTTAAAATTACATTTACCAGTGGTTCATGAGAAATTAAACAGACTTAATGCTACATTAATACATGGAAGCATACTTTGAAGAAAACATGTTGGTTATTTCAAGTGAGTTATGGCATAATTATAAAAGGAATATTTTCATCAGAAATACATAAAAACACTGTATTGGTATAAAACAGCCTCAAAAACAAATAAAGAGAGAAATTAATCAGGGGAAAATAGGCAAATCTACAATTATAGAAGATCTTAGGTCATCTTTTCCAGAAATTGAAATATAAAGAACTCCAGACTAGTAAGGATTTGTAAGAATTGACTGACACAGTTAAGCCTCATCTAGTACATGTACACATTTTATGTAACACACATATGTGCATGCACACAAAAATAAGTGGGTACACATGTTTTTAAAATTCATGTAGATTATTGTCAAATATTACCGACACCAAGCAAGTCTTACTAGATGCCAAACAATTAGTATGATACAAGCCATTTTGTCTGATCATAATGTTAGAAATAGTAGATATCAAAATACTAGACACACCAAAGTTGCCAATTGCTATCTATAGTTATCACTTAAATGAAAAGTCAAAACCAAAACAACACAGTATATAATAGATGAGTGACATATGCATAAAGAGTATGAAGACATGTGAAGGGGTTAGACACCTTGACTTAAAACTTACAACTGTCATTAGGGAAAGAGGAAGGCAGGACAAATAGCTGTACTGGCAATGTTTTGTTTCTTTAAACAGATATGAGCATACAAAGCATATATGACACATGTTAGTGTACTCACACCTGGTGGATGGGGGATATGTGTGTCTGCTTTATTAACTTTTTTGCATTTTTTGTATGTTTTACATAGCGCCCAAATATTAAATATTATTCTGTTTGTAGGGTACATAAGAGGCTAGAAGAGAACCAGAGTATATACAAGAATGGTTAGAAGCCCACGACTGTGTATTTAAATAAATAATGAAAAGCCAAATCAATGTTTAAATACAATACTGGATGTATTATAAAAACATCTCCCCAGACCTACTTGTTCAACTTCTCTGTTGAGGGCATCTACTTTTTCTTTCAATCTGTTACCCTCTGCTTCAGCGGTGATAAGCTCCAATTTGAGGGTATTGTTATCTGCCTCTGACTGACGGGCCTTATTTTCCCAGTTTTCAGCATCTTCACTGGCTTTGCGGAGTTGATCCATTATTTGCCGGTTCTCAGATTCCTGAAAAGCAAATCTTAGGTATTACCTCTGCAAGAAAATCTCTCCATACTCATAGTTTAGAAACCTGGTCATCTTGTAAGTAAGCAAAGAACAGCTCAGTCAGAACCTGTCATGGCTCCGTCCCAGTTTTCTCCCTAGAGAATTTAAGTCAATTGCTCTTACCTTCAGAAGTGGAATAAACACAGTTTTGTATTTCCTTGGGTTCAAACACAACTCTCCTTACCTTCTGTACCCATGCCTGCTTACCAACTCCTTGCTGGTCTGACTTCTGAGTCCTTGATCTTGTGTATGTATTCTGCTTATTCACGATCACTCTACTGGATTGTACTGACTACAAGGCTTCTGAAGTCATGCATAGGTGATATGTCCATGCCTGAGAATTCTCTTGGCTCATTTCCTGTCTGGTGCCTGCCTTTCTTCACAGACCCAGCCTTAATCTTCCCAACCATGGGCTGGAGTTAACTTTGCTTGTAATTCTGGTAACGTGCCTAAAACTGCTCTTAAGTTAACTATCAAACCTATGCCAATAAAAATTAATCATAAATTATATGAATTCATGTGTAAACTGGACATAAAATGTAGAACAAAGTTTTTCAACCTTTAAAGTTATACCTTGATTGATTGATTGAATAGAATCTTTTTTCTAGAGAAAAAATTTAGTTCCACAAATAAGATACTATGCTGAGTAATCATTATTAAGCTATTTTTAAAAATTTTAGTATTATGGGTTGGCCAACTAACTTTTAAGAATCAGCTATAATTTCAGTAATTAATTAAAGGATATTAGAAAGGGTACTTGATTTCTTTCACTGCTACATGTTAATAAATACCACACTTCTCTATCAGAAATCCTGGACTAAATAAAATGAACAAATTGTAAATAAACAAATAAATAAAATGTTCAATTCTATAAGTCTTTCAAATCAGATTTATGTTCTCATAATTAAGATTACTTAATCATAAACTGATTGAAATGCAGTTAATATTGCCATCTTGTGGTTTCTAATATGAAAGATCTTTGCCAAACCTGTTAACAAATTAATACTGTATTAATACTGTAAACTGTTTGCTTGGCTTTCAAGATTCAAATATTCTAGATGTGCCAATAGAAACCTGTTTTCTGTGACTGAACTAAAAGTAATAGTTGTACATGGAGCGAGTGCTCAGGATCACCAGGAAAAAGTACACAAACTGAATTTAACCTACATCAATTTTTACCTTTTTTAACTTCCTATAGGTCTTATTGTCTATGCCATTTGCTTATAACTGACAGACATTTGATGTAGTTAGGTGTAGATATACTGTCTCCTCAGTATCTTGAATTTCTCCAAAATAAGAACCTTTTAATGTTAAATTCAGTTTTTTGTTTTTTGGGTTTTGTTTTTTTTTTTGAGACAGGGACTCAATATGCAGTTTAGGCTGGTCTCGAACTCACAACGTTCCTCCTGCCTTGAGTGCTGGATTACAAGCATGCGCTATCATGCCTAGCTAAATTTAGTTTTGTAACCAATTAAAAAGTGAAAAAGGATTGCAGAAAACATTTCTTTTGCCCTCCAACCACGGTGCCCCTCCCTCTTGGTAATCAAGAACCGGATTTTGTGCTTCTCTGCATCCTGGCATGGACACCACCGCAGTGTGGGACCTGCGAGAGGAACGCTATGAAGGAAGTGAGGCTGCTTTTGGTAACTTCCATTCCTCCTTCGGACCTCTCCAGCTCTGCACGGTGCCTCTGTCGTCCAGCACACTGGCCAAATGAATAAAATACCACACACTTCTCCATGCCTCTCCCTGACAAATTCTTCCTGGGGATACCTGAACCCATCCAGTATTATGAAAAACAGTCTCAAAAACAAATCCTCACTAAGACGCTATATCTGAAAATACAATTCTAAAATCTAAATACTCCGATCTGTAATGGTGGAATTTCAGGTACTGTGACAGATGAACTAGGGAGATTTAAGAGAACTGTCTAATGTTGGCTAAAAGCTTACTAACAAATTAAAATGCTTTTCTGGATATTCACTGATTTCTTTTTGACATATTCCAGAGTATGTTTATTCACAGATGAGTCACTCTGCTAGGTGTTTTAAACACTTTATCTCATGTGTTTGTATGTTCTTTCCAATTATAGATGGGAACAGGGTGAGCAGCCTGTGTAAATTCATGGCATTAGGGAGAAAAGCCATGTCTTGCTGGTTCAAAAGGGTATTACATTACTGGTACTCTAAAAGCAGTTAAGTGTAGGAAACTACTTCCTTTGCCTACATAAGGCCTGAAAGCAAGCACTTAATTAAGGGTTCTTATATTTTCTTAACCCTCAAAGCCCTTAACAAGCCTATGCACACTGTGAACAAATGTTCAAGATGTATCTGTGGACTAATACTAAATGGTATGTCCAATAGGGTAAGCAGTGGGGGAGGAGTAAGTAGTCAAACACCATACCCATCACAGCAGGGTGGTAAGTAGGTAGCACCATAACCTGTTACAAAGACCAGTCCATGATGTATACTAGGTATTTTATCAAACTGGCACATCCACCATCCTTGGTCAAGCTCTATGTTCATTCCAGGATTACTGCTGGGGAATCTTCTGATGTCAGCACACCTACCCAATCAAACAGTTGCTAACAGAGAAGTGCAAAGAAAAGTCATTGGTCTTCTGGTCCTACAAAACAGATGGCCTCATAACAAGGTGATCAATTCTGATCTGCTATATAACCAGGCAGAGGTACTTTGTCACAGGTTTACCACTGAAAACTTCATCATCTTCAAACATCAGAGAGGCCAACTTGATAGAAGCCCTGTGTCTATTATCCAGGTTGGAAAACTCTGTTATGTCTGAAGTGTTTAAATTTAGCAAACTAAAGGCACATATTCTTGACTCAATTTTCTAGACACTGGTGATAGTCTAAATATATAGTAAGTTTACCACTGTCAAAGCTAAAATATGCCATGTAGTAAGGAAAAACTTGAGTCATTTCTTCTGATGTGTGTAATCAATTACTAAACTAGTTATTACAAAAACTCTTAGGGATTGTCATGGTTTATATCTAGATTTCCCCTCAAAACCTCAGGCTCACAGGTGGAGCTTTTGGGAGGTTACTGGATCATAGATGTGTGATTGTCATCACTGGGTTAGTCACTGATGGTTTTGTGGCTGGTTGTGATGTTGGGAGGTGAAGTTTGGTGGAAAGAAGTGGGTTACTGGGAATGTGGCCTGGAAGGGTATATTATGTCCCTTGCTTCCCTTGATCCTTCTCACTGCTTCTCGCCTGCCATGCTAGGAGCTCTTTCTCTTCCTCCTCGCTTGTCACCCTTCCTTGGAGCCAGCTAACTACAGACTGAAACTTCTACAAACCATGAGCCAAAGTAAACGTTTCTTCCATTAAGTTGTGGGTATCAGGTATTGTGTCTCAACAAAGAGAAAGTAACTAAGGTCTTATGAGCAAGGAAAAAAATACATATACTTACTTCAGATTTTAATATGTTCTTCAGCTTGTTAACTTCTGAATTAGTATCTTGGACCTTCTGTTTTATGTCATTAAGCTCATTATGTGTATCATTCAGTTTTTTGGATAAAGCCTATGGGAAAAAAGAAAGCTACATTTGATTACAACAAAAAAATTCCTACATGTAAAGATATCATCAAAAATTAAAATTTAAGTATTTGTAACAAATATGATAAATAAAATAAAATACATAAAACTCACATAAACATGGTAAACATAAAAGCCCAAGAGTAAATGATCAAAGGGCCCAAATAGATAATTCATAAAATAAAAACACAAGTAGATAATACTTGAAAAAAAATGAACATCACTAGAAACCAAAGATACACTAATTAAATCAAATACTATTTTGCCTGCCAAATTAATAAAGATTTAAAGCTTCAGTTCTAGAGGAATGGTATTTCCATATACTGCTCACTCTAAACATAAATTTGCAAAAAGCAAATCTGCGATCAGCCAAATGGTGATACATGAACATACATTTTTAAATGTCCATTAAAAAATGAGAGAGACAAAATGTTGATTATTGTCAAAGTTAGGTGAAGGTAGGGGAGGTCTACTATGTCTTAAAATATGAAATATTTCATTTAATTAAATTTAAATTTTAAAAACTCATACACTTTGGCTCAGTGTGGTGAAATCTAGCAACATTTAATGAAAGATTTTTATTAAGGTGTTGCTATGATAAAAATATTCATACTAGCTGAATGATGCAGTAAATAATATATCTGTGAACTGGTATAGTCACATAGTGGAATGTTTGCAGTAATTTTTAATAATATAGGAAAATGCTACCTATATTAAATTTAAAAATCAGGCTAAATACAAAAATACTTTATCCCAATTTCTCAAAAAATGTATCATGGATACATTTTTAAAAGTTTCTCCTTTTCTGCAATACTAGATCTTAATATATTGTCCATAGAGGGATCCCTTTGTCTAATGTTAGGTCTGTGACTCAAACAAAGAGGAAAACTAATGTGGACTATATGTCACCGATTTTCTTTCTGATGAGCAGAAGTGTTTATGGAGGTGATTTCTTTCTTTCTTTCTTTTTTTTTTTTTCTTTTTTTTTTAACTAGGGATCAAACTCACCACCCTGCATTTGCAAGGCAGGCACTTACACCACTGAGCTAAATCCCCAGCCCATTTATGGAGTTTTAACAAGGCAGGAAAAAGTTTATGCTACCGTAAGCTGACCATAGCTACAAAATATTGAGTAATAGGCTAAACACTATGGCAAATGCTTTCCAGGTATGTGGTGTGATAATATAATTGCTCAATGTTTAAATTTAAAAAAAAAATATTACATAGTAAAAGATTATTTGCCACTGACATCCCCCGAATACTCTTCCTCACTTCAAAAACACTTATCCCATCATTCATACAACTTTCTGAAGCAGTTCTTTAGTAGGACTTTTGTAGCTACTTGAATGCTCTAAATTGATTTAAAATATTTACTTTCAAGGTCATTCTGACTTTGGGGAAGAGTGAAAAGAGGCTCAGCTCTGCATGTGGTAAGTGGCTGAGGACACACTGTAACATTTTTACAAGCTGCCTCTCCCTGGGTGGCACATGAAAGCATTCCCTGGACAGTATTTTGTAACATGAAAGACTTCCAGAACTGCTTCAGAAAGTGGCAACAACTATGGGGTAAGTGTATTTGAAGTGAGGGGGACTATTGAGAGGGGTTCATACAATGTGTCTTTTGTTGTAATAAATTTCAATAAATTAAACATAAACTGTATTTCTGATTAGTCTTTGTACATTCTCATTAAGTATCCATTTTTACAGATTATATAATTAGAGTCAAAGAAGTTAAACCATATAACTATACAACCTGGCAGTGATAGTCAACCCATATAAAGCAATGTGGCTTTTATTTCAGCTACATTAAAAAGCATATGTTAAAAAAGTATTTAAAATGTTAAATGCATTGAAAGTCATTTTTAAAAAGTCAAATGTTAACAGTGACTTAACTGAATAATTAAAATATAACTTTTTCTCACCTTGTTTTAAGAGAAAAGGATTTTCTATAAGTTTCTGTTTCTTACCAAACAAACTAAATTTCTAGGTTTTTTTTTTTTTGTGAACACAAGTTATAGCTACCTTTAGCCTATTGATCTAGTGTAAACAGAGTACACAAAAGTAGAATTTGTAAATTCTTATCTTTTGGTTTTTATTTTGCTACTCATTAATTTTTTAAAAAATAAATATTATTTTATAATAACTTTTAGATTTATAGAAATGTTGCTAAATTAGTACAAAGATCCCTGATACATCTCACACTCATTTCCCACTATTATTGGCATTTTATCTTGTATGGTACATGTCTCAAAATCAATGAACTAACATTGATATATTAGTCCATATTGTAAACAGGTTTTTTTTCATTTTTAAGAAATGTATTTGTTTAAAATTCCAAAATTCCATCAATGGATGAACAAAGTATTTTAATGTCCCAGATAATTTTTTATAATTACAGTGTTGCATTTTATAGCTATTTATATGAATTAATAATTTTAACAGTTAAAGAATATAGGTTTTATGATACAAACTAAACATGGAAAATGATATCAACGTAGGGGAAATCATTTGAACTGAGAAATATTGAAGGAGAAAGAAAATTTCCAAATAGAATTTTTTAAATGTCCCAGCTAAAATATTGTTACTAGAGATGAGTACTGTGGATTATATTGAAATATACTAGCTTAGAGAGAAGTTATAAAAAGAATTTTTCCAAAAGAAATCACAGTGCTAAATAGAACCAAAAATGTGGCATTGTTCATATTAAACCAAGTAACATATAGTCTATCAAATAAATTTACTCTTTTCTTTAATGTTTCTGATAGCTCTTATCCTCATTTGCTGAATTACTCATTTAAAGAAGTTCTTTCTCCAAAATACAGCAGAGAGACTACTGTTTATTTGCAGTATTGTGCTAGCACTTACGGGTATAAGAATATTAACAACTACTTGACATTTGTGTGTAAAGATTTGATCAGAAGAAACAGTACTGCATTATTTGGGTAACCTTGGGAATCTGTGGCTGATCTGAGAGATATAAACAATATTTTATAAATATTCTTACACACATGAGGTGCACAGGTTTGTGGTTGTGAGTAGCTAAGTGTTGGATGTGACTAATGTTAAGTCATGAAATTTAAACCATCCCTTTAGTTATGTAACAGGTGCCTTATAAGGTTGTATGTTATTCAATAGTGTATTGTCTGTGAGAGATATGATGAACTCTGGTAAACATTGTGATATTTTTTTGTTTAATAATTTCTAGATTATAACTGAAAATTGCTATGCATATTATTATATAATACAAATTTGCAGTGTTATAAAAAAAGAAGCATTTTCTAAGGTATAATACAAATCTACTATATTCCCATTTCTTCTTTTAATATCTAACATTTTATGTCTGACAATTTTACTTATGAATTATATGGTCTATTAGTCACACAATTTTTTAAATGCCTAGTTCCAATGTCTGAGCTTTTCTAGAAGATAAAATTAGGGTTGTAACTCAGGAGAAATACTTTTTTTTCTTGGAGAAGAAGTTTCTGGGAACAAGTGTACCTGGTTTTCTTGTTTAGCTTTGCCAAACTGTTCTTGGAGATTGTCATTGTCATGAGCTAAGATATCTCTTTCCCTAGCAATTTGAGCCAGCTCATCATTGGTTTCATCTATTTGTCGACGCATTCTGGAGATATCTTGTTCACACATAATGAGGGCTTCAGTAGACTGTCTATGCCACAAATCAAATGGTACATAAGGAGAGACATTTTACTGAAACATAAAAAATGCTCGCAAGACAGAAGACAGTATGAAAACATTTGAGGATGCTTAAAAATGTTTAAATGTAGAGGAACACTGCAAAGACCGCAGTTAGCTTCTCTACATTGCTATCGTTTTTCTATGAAAGGCACTAAAAATATGTAAGAATCAATGATTTGCTAAATACTTCAAAACTTTTGACATTCAGTAATAGGAAGGCCTTCATCCTACCTCTAGCTGTTATCGCTTTGTCTCCTTTGTAGATTCCTCTTCTTCTGCCCCCTTAAAAATTAATGTTTTTCAGGGCTCAAACCTTGGCCTCCTGATTCCCGCACACTAGCCTTTCTCTCAGAGAAACCCATACATATCCATGGCTCTAACCCCATCTACAGCCAGATGACTCCAGAGCCATGAACTCCAGCCTCAGCTCTTCTGCTAGCATGCAAGACTCATGCTTTCAGGATCTGTCTACAGCAAGGACCCAAACTCTTTGGGACATATAAATAAAATACTCAAGGGCTCTCTAAGTTCAGAGGCAAAATCTCTTTCTTCTCACACTTCTGTCATACTCAGTATTCATTCCTAGCCAGAAACTTGGCATTTTCCTAGTCTTTCCCTCATAAACACCTCATTCCCTCTGTTCTCTATCCTAAATCCAATCTACCATCAACTATTCGGTCTGAATAATCTAACACACACACACACACACACACACACCTCTTCAAGTAAGTCTCTATTGATTTTGTATGGCCCAACAGGTGAAACCAAGACTCACGAGTCTATACTACATACCTCTTCGAGCCTATTTAGCTTCTTGTTCCTTCATTTGTATTGCAGGTTGCAGCAACATTCACTTGTAGTTTGAGAGGATCCTGAACATGATTTGTGGGCTCATTGTCATTTTAAAACTTTAAATGCCCTGCTTGGCAAATTAAATGCCCTGCTTGGCAAATAGCATCCTCTCTCTTAATTCCCTACACACACTTAGACCTCCCCTGATCATTAACAGAGTTATCACCTCACCCATAATACTAAACGCCTTGTTTCTTACTCTTTGTAGCTTACATTGTACTTTGCCCCCAGTAAGTGCTCAAATATTTGTTGAATGCCTTACCTTGATGCCTGTTCCATCTCAGCAATGATATTCTTCATGCCTGAAATGGTCTTTTCCTTGAAAAGTAATATAAATATTAAATAAAAATTATCTTAAATTATTTCTGTCAAAACTGAATGAACAAGAAAATGTCCCTTCCCCTTGTGACTTTCACTTAACTTTGAACACTTATGTCCTATTTTTCTTTTGTACACTTCAAAGTTTATTATATCAATGCAAATATTTGGACTGGGCAAAAAAATAGATTATGTTCATTAAGCTAAAGGCTATACTTAAGTCTACTGATCTAAGATCATATATAAAATACATTGTTAAAAGATTTGTGCAGTCACCAGCAATATAAGACCCACAAAATCACCCTGTTTTACTTTTCCTCTAGAGAAATCAATGGTTTGGTATTAGGCTCTTATATAAGGAACAGGATTCATTTGCTTCCTTATATTTTTCATGTTATAAAACCAGGGAAGTGAATCATATGTAATTAAATTTAGTTCATAGAAAAATAACTATAATTGATATTTTTATATTACCAATTTCATCTTCAAAAAGTTGCTCCAATTGAATTACTGATAAGATACTAATATATAAGCATGAGATAGGAGGAAGCACTAGACCTAGGCCAAAGATATAATAAAATAACTATGTATATTCTCCCTTTTCAGAAGTATAGTAAGGGAACAGAAACAGTAGAGTTCATCAAGACTGAAATGAGTTTGAATATCATTAATGTTTTCAATACCATTTACACATCTCCTTTTGACTCTCACTGAAGCTAGGCATGATGGCACATGCCTATAATCCCTGCACTCGGGAGACTGAAGCAGGAGGATCGTTGCAGATTCAAGACCAGCCTGGGCTACAAAGTGAGCTCAAGACCAGCCTAAACTGCATAGTGCAACCCTGTCTCAAAAAGAGAAAAAGGAAAAAAAACCCTAAAACTCTCATTGAGCCTGAGGTAGTTTAACTATGAACAGATACTTACAGCTAATGCTCACCTTTTAAACAATAATAAGAAAATTATCCTTTCACTAACTAGACTTTGAGTTTTAAATCCTTAGTAACCAAGTAAAAAGTTGAGAAGTGAACATATTTCTCAGGCATGCTGCGCTTGTCTTCAATGGAGACAGTTCGGTGTGTACCCTCTTCGTTGGCACTATCACCTTCACTCACACTGTCTGCCTCTATTCAGTGGCCCCCTGCAGAGTGATTTCAGCTTCAGTGTCTTTTTCTGCTTTCTAATAGACAGTAGAGAGAATGGTGACGATTCTACACCTGGCTTGATAGTGGAGTGTAGTTAAAATATCCACTAATAAAAACAGTTAAACCCCTTTAAGAACAAGCTTGTGGAGGAAAAATTCAAACAGAAAATACTGCTAAACATAGAATGTTTATATATTCTAAAGATAAAATTTAATGCATTTTCAAATTCTAAAAACCTAACTAAACTTTTGGTACCTCTGAAAATCATTTCTTGATTGCACTTGAAATGAGAACTTTCCTTTAATAATAAAATTAACCTTGAAAGTACAGCCCTGTAGGAACACTATAAAGTATTAGGGAAACAAAACTACTCAATACAAACTAATAATAAACCTTAATCTATTTTTCGTAACGGGACCCTAATAACATCATTACAACATTAGTAATTTAATAATCCTTACACATCCTCAGTACGCTCATTCAGCCAGGAACACAGATTCATGTTAATCATTACAATTCAGTTTAAACAGGATGATCATAAATGTATTTAGAAAGAAGAAAAATGAAAGACAAATAATTCTGGTTTTTCTTACTAAAAAAATCTATGAGCATGCTACTCAGTTTTCAATCATTGATTGATAGCAAAAAACATCAATTTAATCACTATAATGTAGACTTTTCCAAATTAATTATTTTTGCAACCATATTAGACTATAATATGTTCACTGAAGTGTTAGTTCAGTTCTGAAATGCCATTACAGAGAATATTATCTCTTTTAATTTTCTAAAACTGTCTTTAAAACTTTGTCCTTCAGAAAATGAATGTGATTACTTTCATAAAATCTTTTACGAAGTTCTTGATTTTGAAATGGGCTTAAATTTATATTCTTTGTGAAAGAATGCTAACATTGGTGTAGTTAGCAGAATGAAAGAAATGTTTAGTATTAGATATACCAGAGAGAAATGTGATCTTGGAAAATGTGAAAAAAAATGTGTTCCTTGTAAACATTAGTCTTTTAAAAGGAAATTGTGTTTATTTAAAAATGTTATGAACGAGGCTGTGGGGATTTAGCTCAGCGGCATAAGTGCCTGCCTGGCAAGCGCGAGGTCATGAGTTCAATCCCCAGTACTGCAAAAAAAAAAAAAAAAAAAAAAAGTTAAAAAATGTTATGAATGTAAGGAGAAGCAAAATTCCACCTAAATTTTAAAAAATAATGAGTTAGTCTTTTCAGCAAGTAAGCCAGTATTTATCTCATGTCCTTTGATGGCTTCAATTTTATGCCCATCATCCCAAATCCATTAACTTTGCTTTTCTAACACTAGAAGTTCAAGAGCCTATAAATATTTTATCTACATGTCCCAAAGACAATTTAAGCTCACCGTGTGAGTGATCTTTCTCGTGTGCTTTATTTTCTATTTTGTGATAGGAACTATTTGTGTATCCCTAATGTAGAGCTCACATCTTGTCAATCTGACCTCCCTAAGAGGTGCCTTTCTCCCATCGAGCCTGCCATTGCCCCCACACAGATCTCACCACTGGTTTTGTGACGAGTGTCCCTGTCACTGTTTTCATTTCCTTTGTAATTTTTTATGTGGACCTATACCCAATGGATCTACACAGCTATAGCATTTCATTTACATTATTACAATGACCCTCTATATCCATCTGTTTTTTTGTCCGACCTCATCTTTTGCCCTCCTGCACCTACCTCTTGGCGCCCTATTCTCTACCATACTAAACCATCAGGAGATCTCAGGAAACCTCATGAAAGCCCCCAGTCTCCTGTAAACCTCCTGACATGTCTGATTACATTCTCACCGTCCCTCCCCCTAAATCTTTTTCTGGCTTACTTCTACTCATTTTTCAGTGAAGCTAAGACACTGGACTTCTGTAAGTTTTCCTTGATCTTCATCCTCCCTCAACCCAACCCCTAGGTTGAATCGTGTGTTTCTGTCAAACTCCAGTGACACTGTATGCCTGTCACTGGGGCAGTTAACATGTTCTATCATAACATCTTTATGTAACCTCCTATTATATTCACCCTCAGTTTTTACTATAATGTCTGGCACATGTCAAAGAATGTCTGCTAGAAGAATGGAAGGACAGATTGATGAATAATGCATACTGGGTCCTAGTTTTCCATCACAAAAGCAGTGGCATTAGTTTTGCTTCTTCATTATGATGTTTGAATTAGTTATTATTAGTGAGTATTAGCTATTAATTCATGGTAGAAAATCAATGTTAACTTATCACTTATATATACACATACTTCTGAAGACTATCTTAAGATATTTCAAAGTCAAAATTTAAGCTTTCAGCTCTTTAAGAGAACTATGAGAGAATACTATTGTTTTACTCAGAATTAAGAAAACCACGGTTTAGTATTTAAACATTTCTTGTCCATCACAGTTCTCAAAACATACTTTCATAGCCAAACTCTCTCCAAGAGATGCAATATTCTCAGATTTTTTGTCCAAACATGCTTGCAGGCATTCCTTTTCTTTAGCCAGATCATTGACGGCTGCACCAAGAATGCTGATTTCTTCTCGCTGTGCAATATTTTGCCTTGTAAAATTATCTAAATACATAATCATAAAGGCACTGTTTTAATCAAGACAAAATATTTTTCCAGTTCAAGCAGATTGAAGTACTTTTCAGAGTACATTATATTCAATAACTGAAAATAAGAGTACTGTATCCCAAATTTAAAAAAGTTTTTGTTGTTAATGATTAAAAACTGTGATAAATCATAAAATTCTAAATAGCTCAGACATACAAAAGCATAACTGAATTAGAATAGTAAAGGAAAGCTCCATAGGATAAGTTCTCAAAATAGATTCCCAAATGTGGTGAAGACAAGTGGGAAAATGGATTAAAGAGGTGGAAAATCAAAACAATCTACGGCTTTGGACCATTTATTTCCTCTCCTCACCCTCCAGCCTAGAACTGTTGTATTTAAAGCTAAGTAACAAAACAAAACATTCAGTTAGCTTATCTTTACAGTCAAGTGTCTTCTAATATTCAGATTTTTCACCTAATTTTTCTAAAATTCCTAGAGAAAAAAATCATTGCAGGGAGTCTGATTCTGTTTTCTATATCATGAGACCTTGGGAAGTCAATGGCAATGCTGAAAGCTGAAATGACTGGTGTGGGGCAATGGTTTCAATTTACAGTTTCTCCGCCACATCACCAGCATCTCCTGGGAAATGGCAGCCCTCAGGCCCCAAACCCTGATCTAATGAATCAGGAATTCTGGGAGTTGGCACAGCAGTTAATGTTTTAACACGCCCACTCTCCCCTTCACTCCACAGTGATTCTAATGCACAATGCAAGGTGAGAGCCACTGGTCCAGAGCTGAGGTTGTAGGTATCAGAATCACCTACAGAAATTGTAAAGAGAGAAAGGCTCTGGTACTGCCCACTTTTAGCTTTACTGGCTCCAGTAAGCTCTATCAACTTCCAGTGATATGACACACCAAAGTTTCATAACCACTGGTCAGAGTACTTTACAAGCTCATCTCCTCTAGACTGGACTTCTGGATACCCTGGCCAGTAAGTCCTTGAAGGCTCAGCAGGTGTAGTGCTGAGAGGGGTCAGACCATAATGTCATGTGTAGCATGGCACTTGAGAAGGTACCAGGGCTCTTTGCGGGCAGTACTGGCTTTAAGACTCCCATGTTTGGAGTGTTTTGATATCTCAGCTCATTCCTGTTGACAATCAGTCAATTACTTTCTTAAAAAACTCTCCCACCACTTTATTTTCTTGCTATCTTTTAACAGCCAAACTTGTCAAAAGACTTTTTTTATTCATTCCCACCTCTACTTCCCTTTCATTCATTTTTAAACATCCACATCTAATATTCCATGCAAATATTCAATGTCACTCAAACATTTTTTATCTAATCCTCACAATTTGTTTTACTTTGTTTTTCTTGTTTTGGCTTTTGACACAGGGTCTCACTATATATAGTTCAAGCTGGCCTCAGACTTTTAGCAGTTCTGCCTCAGCTTTTGAGTTGCTGGGATTATAGGCGATCATGCACTGGCATGCCCAGCCTTTACTTCCTTTCTGACAACTGACCGTACTCTCCATTTTAAACACTCTTTCCTTCCAAAACAACACTCACTTCTAGGTTTCCTTTCTATTTCTTTAGGTCCTTCTCACTTGGTCCTGGATCTTCTTCTCATCCTCTGTATTTTCCCTAGGTGATTTCATTGTTTTAAAATATCACTTACATGCTTATGTGCCCCAGAATTACATTGGTTAGGTTAGAGTTCTCTTTTGAGATACAAACATATATATTCAACTGCTTGTCTTACATTTTTAATTGTTCTTGAAATATTAAAAAATGAATTCTCCTTTAATATTGCCTTTATAGCTCTCTTTTAATATTTTTGTCTTGAAAAACAGCAATTCCACCTATCTGTTTATGTCAAACATTTATTGAACTACATAACAGAAAGTGTTAAAAAAATTTCTCCACTTTAAAATAAGCTTTTATAGCTCTGAAAAAAATTATCTGATAACATTGTTATAGTCATATTTCCATAAAGACCACCAGTAAAACCATAAAGATTTTATAAAGATGATTTTTATAAACCCAAGTAACATCATAGATATAGCCAAAAATCTGTAAACACAAAAATAATGAAACAGTGAAGATGCTTCATTACAAGAGCTGTGAGCAACCTGTAATATACAAAAACATAAATTTGAAGTAATCACATATATAGTTTTGCTCTTCTGTTTAACTATGTCCTTACTGGCAAACTTTAAATCCTAATTAACTAAACCTAAATACCAAAAAAATCTTACTATCAAAGAAAAGTGCTTTTCCATTATTTTTCATTTATAAACTCTTAAAGACCTATTTCCAAGTTTACCTAAAAAATTCAGTTTACAATTTTCAGTTATAACTGAAGAGAAGGAAACCCATTTTTCTACCAGGTTAAAAAATAATATCAGGAAGAAAACTCACCAATTTTTTCATCCAAGCACATAATTTTCTCCTGAGTAAGCTGAAGTTCATATTTTTTCTTAGCAAGGTGTCGCTGAGTATCAGAAAGATCTTTTTCTGTGTTTTCATATAAAACTCTGCAAATATTTTAATCAGGAAACTAACTCTGAAATTTTTATGTTTTGTCAACTTTTATTTATCTAAAATCTAAAAACTTAAGCACATGCATATTTCTTTTTAATATTTTCATTTATAAACCCATTCTACAGAAAATTTTAGAAAATAAAGGAAAAGGATCTTTGATCCACTACACCAACATGTTAGCATTCATCATTTTTGTTATATATACTTTAAAGCTAAATCATAAATATCATAAATTCAAAAGTGAATCCTGATTTTCACCTATATTTAATCTTTAATATTTTTAAGTCTTGCTATAGACTTCCAAATTATTATCTTATAGCTAAAAGATATTACATTAAGAATAGTCTTACTTTCCAGCAAACATAATAATTTACTGAACTACAAAGACCCTATTATTAGATTAGTTCCAGGTCTTCAGTTTTAAAAATAAATCTGTGATGACAGCATTTCATTCATTCCAAAAACAATTATTAAGGACTAGTATGCACCAAGCACTAGGAGTCAAGGAAGTTATAGGGAATTGGACTGGCACTGCTCCTTCCCTCATGGAGTTCACAGTCAATAAACAGTCATCAAGTTCCTTGACATATGGAAGCTCTTTAACCACAAAACTTTTAGACATATTGAACATAATACAAGAATCATCCTTTAAATGTCTACCAACAATCTCTAAGAATTTGTAAGGAAACTGTTCTATAGCCAAATCAGAACGGTAAGACATATTAGTTACAGTGGGGTTTGACTGTCTTGGTAGCAAGAAGCAAGTACTGGAAGCAAGTATTTTCCTGATCTTGGGTTTTAATTTAGAAATAGAAAATGAGGTTACAGAGAAGTTAGCACCCAAGAATGGACCAAGACTGTCCACAATAAATCACTGACAGCTATACCATTAGTGAAAAGGTCAAACTTGAGACCATATCAATTATTGCTAGGCTCTGGGAAATAACACTTTTCCCTGGGAACTCTTAAATTCAAGGAAGGGGAACAGCAGAGGAAGGAGATATGAAAAGAATTTAAGATGTGTTACATACATATACCAACTCCCTACAATGAATGTAATCAGTACGTACTACAAACGTGTACTAATAAAATTTTTAAGAGGCAGGAATGGGACATTTAAAAAGGATGCATAATACCATATCAAGCTCATTTAGCATATAAGAGAATGCAAGAATAACCTAAATGTTATAAATAAGAATGACAAGCTAAATAAATTATAGGTTATCAAAGAGGAAAAAAAGAAAGTAATATTTTCCAAAAAAGAGAAGGAATTAAATAAAAATTTGGTTCCAGGTTGATCATGTAGTCTGTGATACTTAGGGTCAGGGTTAGGAAAAAAGAGACTCAAATTGGTGCAGTTAGGTATGAAACAATGAGATCACAACAGATCTTGCAGAAATCTAGATCATCAATACCTACTTTGAGAACTTTTACTTTAATAAAATTGAAAACACAGAAGAAATGGATAGATTCCTAGATACATACAAATTACCAAAGTTGGATCAAGAAAATATAAAATTCTAACAAAGAAAAGCCGAGGTCCTGATGGATTCACTGTTGAATTCCACAAGAAATTTAGAGAAGGTCTAATGCCATTACTTGTCAAATTCTTTAATGAAATTGAAAGGGAAACAATACTCCCAAAGTCATTCCTGGAAGCAAGTATTTTCCTGATACCAAAACCAGAGAATTAGCCAACCAAAAGAGAGCTATAGGCCAATCTCCCTAACAAATATAGGTGCAAAACCTCAGTAAGATATTGGCAAACAGAATACAAAAAATCAAGAAGATTATACACCATGACAAGTAGGATTCGTCCCACGGATGTAGGGGTGGTCCAACATATGCAAATCAATAAACATCAATAAGGACAAGAACCATATGATCATAGATGCAGAAAAAGTATTTGACAAAGTCCAACACCCATTCATGATAAAACCCTACAGAAAATTGGAACAAAATGATCTTTATCTCAATCTGATAAAAGCCATCTATGACAAACCAACAACCAACATCATAATAAATGTCAAAATCTGAAAGCTCTCTCTCTAAAATTAGGAACAACACAAGGATTGTCCACTATCACCACTCCTATTCAATATAGTTCTGGAAACATGAGCTAGTGCAATTAGACAAAAGAAAAAAATAAAAAGAATAAAGATAGGAAAGGAAGAAGTTAAATTATCATTATTTTCAGATGACATGATACTCCACAGGGAAGACCCCAAAAACTCCAACAAAAAGCTTCTAGATTTAATAACCAGATTCAATTGCATAGCTAGACACAAAGTTAACACTCAAAAATCAATAGTGTTCCTGTACAAAAATAACAAACATTGAGAGATAAATTAGGGAAGACACCTTTCACAACAGCATTTTAAAAAATGAAGTACTTAGGAATCAGGGGAAGTACAAGAACTCTACATTGAAAACTACAATCCTTTGAAAAAAGAGATCAAAGAAGGGAAATATAACCCTTGTTCTTGGACAGAAAGAACCAACGTAGTAAAAATGGCCATACTCCCAAAATTCTTATACAGATTTAATGCAATCTCAATCAAAATACCATTAGCATACCTCACAGAACTACAGGAAAATTCTTAAATTCATTTTGTTTTTTTTTTAAGTGGATTGAAGCAGTGATTTTTAAAACAAAGAAAACAGAACTAGAATATCTGAAATTTTTAACCCTTTCTTTACAGGTTGCTAGATCATTTTTGATTAAGAAAACCGCAGAAAGTTAGTAACTGCACAAGTGAATGCCAGGCGGTGACACGTGTCAATTTTCCACAGAGTCCTGCTTTGCAGGGTGTCTGAATGCACTGCTTGGGGTCTCTGCTCACACTTGCTGGAATCATTTGTGGCAGATTTTAGTCCACAGGTCGCTTTTCCCTATATTTCTTTGTAAACTCTTCAGCATTCTTACAGAATTTTTTACAGTCCTTGGAGTATTCTTCAGCTAGGTCAGCCCGGAGTAGGTGCTCGGGCTGGAGGTCATTCACCAGTGCTATGAAGGACTGGATAACTTGGTCAGTCTTGGTCGCTGGCTTCCAGTTCTCAGCACTAATTACCGGCAGGCAAACTTGCCCTTTTTCAGCAATGTTTGGGTGATAGGTCTTTGTTTTAAACGTGATCTTCAGTGGTTTGAATGGGTACTCTGCTGGAAAGTTGATTTCAATTCTAAAGGCCCCCTTGTCATAGGGAGGGTTGTCAGGAACAGTAAGCCCTTGCCAAGTCAATAAATTAGCTTCATCAACCTGGATGTTACAGAAGTTTTTCATTCCACATTTGCAGATCTCTTCAAGCTCCTTCATCAGCCTCCCGCTGGCCACCATCTTGGATCTGGTGCTGCTACCTTCCCCCTAAAATTCATTTTGAACTAGAAGAGACCGAGAATAGCAAACCAGGGGGCATCACAATCCCTGTCTTGAAATTACACTACAGAGCTGCTGGGACACAAACAGTATGGTAATGGGCAGAGAGAGAGAGAGAGAGAGGAAGAAGAGGAGGAGGAGGAGGAGGAGGAGGAAGATCAATGGAACAGATTAGAAGATGCAGACACAACTTCAAACAAACTCAGTCATCTATCTTTGACTAAAAGTCCAAACATAATTACTGGAAGAAACAAAGCCTCTTTAGTAAATGCTGCTGGGAAAACTGGCTTTCCCATGCCAAAAACTGAAACTGTTATATCACCAACCATGCACTAAACTAAAACAAAAATGGACCAAAGATTAAAATGTTAAAACAAAAACACTAAATCTGATAGAAGTGAGAATAGGTAGAATTCTTAATGGTATAGGTGTGGTCCAGACAAGATAATGAAACCATAAATGGATGAGGCCGTTTAAAAACAATTTTCATGAGTTATTGGTAGATAAGTCTGAAAAGCTCCTCCAGAACAGAAGCTCCTGAGGACCACAGTCTTGAAGAGGACCCCATGTTTTAAGTGTGTTTTATCTTTAGGAACCCACCAATTCTTACAGTAAAGATCTGAAAATTATTCCCTTGTAGCTCTGACAAGGAAAAGGCAAGAGTCATTATGAGGGGGTAGGGGTTTAGCTCAGCAGCATAAGCATCTGCCCAGCAAGTGTGAGGTTGTGAGTTTGATCCCCAGTACAAAAAAAGAGAGTAATTATGATAAAATATGCCCAGAGTACTTTTCATATTAAATTCTTATCATCGAGTGAACAGACTTTCCCACAGCATCATCCCAGACTGGAGAAGGACATTCCTTCTACCCTAATTCAGCCCTCTCTTGGTGTCATGCATTTGTTTGGATGTGCCCCTAAAGTCTCATGTAGTCATGGGACCTTTCAAAGGCAGTTGAGTGTAGCATTTGTGATTGGTTCATTGTCTAGCACTGGGACTGGTGGTGTGAGTGCTGTACCCGCCTAGGGGCAGGTAGTTGGCATACAAGGGAAGGAAAGTCATGCTTTTCCCTCTTTTTGCCCTTTTGCTCTTGTTGCTTATGACCACCATGAACAGTTGCCCCTTAGCCACATTGCCCTGCCTTGGAGCAAGCTGATTATGGACTGAAATCTCCACAAACTGTGAAATGAGTAAACCTTTCCTTCCTTCATTTTGAGTGTTGGGTGTTTTGTTCCAATAAGGAGAGACAAGTAACCAAGACAGAATTTGGTACCAGTGGAACACTATACAGTGGAGTATAGTCTGTGACTATACATGACCATTGTGGTTCAAGAACCTTTGCAAATGGCTTGTGGGAAGAGTTTGGAAAGGCTCTGAGATACCTGAAGGAGTAGCCTTGGAACATCTTATACTGTTCTGTAAGGGAGATTCTGGTCAGAGCTTAGAAGTTCAGAAGGTCGATAGAAATCCTGCCAGTAAATATTGGGTATGGGAGGTTTCTGCTGGGAAGGATGGCATTGGCTGTTGGACTCCAGACCATGTGTGTTATGGCTCAGCAGAAAGTTTGCCTGCATTTTGCTCCTGTCCAGAGATTTTCCCTGAGACTGAGATTCAGGGTATTGGATTAATTAATCTAGCAAAAGAAATTTCAAGGCAGTCAAATGTTGAGGCAGTGGCATGGCTATTGTGGGGGCTTTTAGTCAGATTTATGTTGCAAATTAAGAGCAAAGAGCCCAGCAGAATAATTTAAAACATTGTAAGTTTGGCCAGAAAGGAAGTCCCAGTAAAGCTGTGGATTGTAAAAACAGAGCTGAGATCTCAATTGCTGAGAAGAATAAGAGTAGAAAAGATAGCCTAGGGGACATCACAGGAAGTAGTAGCAGGTCTCCAACCTTTGTAGTCTCAAAACTGCAGAAGTAAAAGACTTTGCTTTGAGGAGAAAGATGCAGAGAACCATGCTCCAGAATATGGCAGCCACATGATGTTCCAGAATGGTAGTGGAGATCACACAAGATTCCAAAATGTTACACCAGGTTCTAGAATGGTAGCAGCATTGAGAATCTGTTTCCCCAGAATCAGGCTTAGGGTGATACAGGTACTTGACACTTACAGCCAAGAGAGAGGAAAGCTTGATAGTGCTCCAACTGACAATGGACCTCAGTATCATTCATGTGGCACTGGTTTTAGGTGCACACAGAATGCAAGAGTTTTAAAGTTAAAAGGCTTCTGTCCCCTATTTCAGAAGGCCTGGAAGGCCAGGAAGTATGTCCCTGGGAGGATAGTATGTGAATCTGTAAAAGTGAAGCCAGAGGTGTAATGGAGATCCCAGAAGTTTGGAAAAGCCAGGAATGTGGATCATCTAAGGAATCTGCAAGGAGAGAGAAAAGCCAGCTCAAGAGAGAAGCTGTGGAAGCTACAACTGCAAGAAGTGTTGTGAGGGAGTGGTAGTCACTCAAGCCTTTTGGAGCCCATAACCAGAGTGCTTCAGATGCTGAATGTGGAACTCCAAGACTTACTGTTTGCCCTGCTGGATTTTGGACTTCCTTTTGTCATATTCCTTTGTATCTCTCTGTTTGTAATCTTTGCAATAGTAATGTTTATGTCACACAACTGAATGCTGGAAGTGTTTAATGTTCATTTGTACAGGGACTCACAGCTAAGAAATTGCTTTATATCTTGTCAGATACTTGGAACTTGGATTTTTCAGCAATGTTGAATGGTTAGGACTTTGGCAACTCTTGGAGATGGACTAAATGTCTTTTGCATAAAGGATGTGCATGAGTCTTTAGGGGCCAGGGGTGGAATGTTATGGCTTGTGTTTGGATGTTCCCCCAAAGCCTTATGTGATCATAGTGGGTGAGACTTTAAAGGTGGTTGAGTCTAGTGTTCATGATTGGTTTGTTGGCTAGCACTGTGATTGGTGGTGTAAATGCTGCACCCACCCAAGGGCAGGTAGCCTGCATAAAAGGGAGGAAAGAAGGCATGCTGTTCCCCTTTTGCTCTTGTCGCTTGTGGCTGCCATGAACAGTTGCCTGTTAGCTATGCCACCCTGCCTTGCAGCTAGATGATTATGGACTGAAATCTCCACAAACTGTGAGCTAAATAAACAATTCCATCTCTTTATATTGAGTCTTGGGTGTTTTGTCCCAGCAATGAGAGATGAGTAACCAAGACACTAGCTTTCCTGTTTCACCTAGTGCAACTTAAAAAAAGGAAAAAAAAGTACACTTGGAAAAACCCTTGTGAATGTCACAGCTATGAGGCACAGACCAACTAAGAGACTGAGATTGAAATGTGAGGTCTATTTTTTCCTCTTTGCCATTAGTACTCTGACATAATCAAGAATGAACTATAAGATGTGTCCTCTCAGTGATGAAGAGTCTCCAGAGAAACCCAATGCCAAGAGGAAAGACAAAAATCAGGACAATACAACAGTCTAAGTTACAGTTAGCTAGAAGAAATAAATTCTGGTGTTCTACTGTTCAGTAGGGTGGCTATAGATAATGTGCTAAATATATTTTGAATGTTTTCAACAAAAACAAATGGTAAATATTAGAGGAGATAGTTATGTTTCCCCTGATTTGAACACAATACAATTTATCCATGACATTATGCTGAAACATCATAAGATACACCATATATATGCATAGTTTTATATATCCATGTAAATTTTTGTTAAAAACTCATCAAAATCCACCCCCCCTCCAAAGATTAGGACAATAGAGGAACCTGCATCCCTTAGAATGTTCAGCCACAGCAAACACTAAATATAACCAACTTGTAACCCAAGTAACATAATCATTCACATTGAAAGACCGTTTACCTTGGTTACTAAAAGTGAATGCAGCATGTTCAACTTCCAACATAGAATTACAACACACACCAAAGTCTGAAGGATCACAATTAAACTCAAATATTAGATAGATACAGGAATTACAAGGTAGATTTAAAATAATCAGGACAAACTGGTTTAGGGAACTAATGGGAAAAAAACACATGTAATAGCATATGGGTAATACAAACAGAGAGACAGAAACTATGGGAATCAAAAGGAAATGCTAGAAATAAAAAACATAATTAAAATGAAGAATGCCCTGGTCTGACTCATCATAGCCAAAGGAAAAAAACTGTTGAGCTTGAAGACAGTACAATAATAACTCTTAAAACTAAAATGCAAAGAAAAAAACTGAAAAACTGAGCAGTACATCAACAAAATGTGAATATTCTTGAGATACAAAAAGGAAAGAAAAAATGTAGGATAGAACATAAGTAGTATCTAAATGGCCTAGAAATTTTTAACTAATAAACAGTACTTATGTATCTATATACAGTATCTATATTTATATATTAAATACAGTGTTAAAATACAAAACTACAAAACACTGATAAAACATTCAAAGATCTAAGTAAATGAAACTCCATGTTCAGTGATTGAAAAATACATGAAGATATTAGTTGTTCGCAAAGTGATTTATAGATTCAATGCAATCTGAATTAAAATTCCAGAAAGCCATTTTGTAGATATTAACAAAGTAATTCTAAGTTTATGTGGAAAGGCAAAAGACTCAGCTGAAGGAATATACTACTGAAGACGAAATTTGAAACTTTATATTATCCAGTTTCAAGATTTAATTCAAAGCTATAGTAATTAAGACAGCATGATTTGGCAAAAGAATAGACACATCAATGAAGCAAACAGAAAACTGAAAAAATGTATATAAATATAGACAAATGATGTTTGACAAAGGAATAAAGGCAATTTAGTGGAGAAAGAATACCCTTTCAACAAATTACACTACAAGTGTTGGATGGTCGTATATAAATTAAGTGAACCTAGACATATACACTGCATCTTTCACAAAAGTAGCCAGAAATAAATTATTGATAGTAAGTGTAAATACAAAACTATATAACTTAAATAAGAAAACACAAGAGAAAGATTAATGTTTTTAAATACAACACCAAAAGCACAATCCCTAAAAGGAAAAGACGATGAGTTGAACTTCATTAAAAAACTTTTGCTTGCTAAAAAATACTGCTAAGAGAATGAAAAAACGCAAGACAGGGAGAGGGAAGTTATAATTGCAAAGCATGTATCTCATAAGAAAATGTATCCAAAATATACAATGAACACTGAAAACTCAACAATAGGTAAGTAAACACTTTAAAAATTTAAAAGATTTTAAATATTTAAATGAGAAGCTTAAAAGAAGATATACAAATGGAAAATACACATTCCAAAAGATGCTCCACATCATTTATTAAGAAGAAACTGAAAATTGTAACAATTCATCAGTATACATTTCTCACAATAGTAAAATCTAAATTTTTGATACACACACTTTGGAAGAGAGTTTGGTGATTTCCTATAAAGTTAAACATCATTTTACTATATGACCAGCAGTCTTGCACCTAAGTGTTTACTGAACTTATTTTTAAAACACCTGCATGTGAAAGTTTGTAATTACCAAAAACAGTGTAAGCAGACAAGATGTCATTCACATGGAAAAACAAAATATGACACATCTCACAATGGAATATTACTTAGTGAGAAGAAGAAATGAATGATGAAGACATAAAAGTCATGGATGACCCTTAAACATATGCTGCTAAGTGAAAGAAGACAAACTAAAAACGCTATGCACTAGATAGTGTCAAATACAAAAAGTCAACCCCTACTTCACACAGGTAATCAAAGTCAAAATCAAGTGTTAAATCATATCATCTGTGCATACCCTTTATATATGAAACCCTAAACTGACACTTTTCTCTCTGTGATCTTTCTCCTAAAAACATACCACCTCAGTCTAATCATGAGGAAACATTAGACAAATCCTACTTGAGACATTCTACAAAAATATCTGCTGGTAAGTATTCCTCAAAATTGTCAAGGTCACCAAAAACAAGGAAAGTCTGAGATTGCATAGCCAAGAGAAACCTAAGGAGACATGACAACTAAGTGTGATGTGGTATCCTGCATGGGATCCTGAACAAAAAAAGGACATTGGGAAAAACCTAAGAAAATCTGCACAAAGTATGGACTTCAGTTATTCATAATGGACCAGTATTGGGTCACGAACTATTATAAATATACCATAATAGTGTAAGGTGTTAATGCTAGCAAAAACTCTGTGTGAGGTACATAGGAGTGCTAGAAATCTTCAGAATTTTTCAGAAAATCTGAAACTTCTAAAATAAAAAGTGTTCCTTAAAAAACAATTGTATTTTCATATGCTAACAATGAACAATTAGAACGTGAAATTTGATCTCCTTTATAAAAGCATAAAATATGAAACACAGGGATGTCTACCAAAGATGTGCAAGATCAACACATTAAATACTATGAATCAACTGGGAATGGTGATACACACCTGAATCCCACTCAGAAGGCTAAGGCAAGAGGATCACAAGTTTGAGGTGTGGACAATTTAGTGACAGTCTATCTCAAAATAAAGCCAGGCATGATAGTATAAGCCAATAATAACAGCACTTTCAGAGGCTACATAATGAGTTCAAGGCTAGACTGAACTACACAACAAGAACTTGTCTCAAAAAATTAATTACTTCTGACTGGGGATGTGGCTCAGCACTCCCTGGATATAATCCTTAGCAAAATACACAAACACACAGAGACTATGCATGACACACGCACGTGCACACACACACACATACACACACACGACCACTTCCAAAACAAAATGCTGAGGAAAATTAAAGACTTAAATGAAAGAAGAAGTAAACTGTGTTCTTAAGTAGGAAAAGTCAACATTTTTATTACTCCTCCCCAGTTCCAACCAAATTCCCAGCAGGCCTTTTATAATTTAAAAAAGTTTATTCTAAAATTGAAATAAGATGCAAACGAACTAGAATAGCCAACACAACAATGAAAAATAGTACCTAATAGGAAGACTCAAAAAATTAACATAATCAGAAATATTATATGGACATTAACATATATATGGAACAAAATAATCAACAAATAAACCCACAAAGGCCAAAATTAACAAACTTTTAGCTCGACAGAAAAAAGTCTTGAGAGAGAACAAAGTTGGAGGCCTCATGCCTCCTGCTTTTAAATTACATTATGTTGGCTGCTATAGTAACCAAAACAGGTTACTGACATAAAAAAATGAACCCACATCTAAGTGGTCAAATAATGTGAAATGTGGCTCAAGGGTAAGAGGACTACGCAGTGTAGTAAGGTGATTCTCTTCAATAAATGGTGGTTGGAAGAAAACTAAATAATCCACATGCAAAGACATTAAACTAGATCTTAATCTTACACTGTACATACAAAACAACTAAAGATGGATTAAGGAATTAAACAGAACTGGAAATACAAAAGTGCTAGACAAAAACAAAAGAGAAAATGTTTCATAATATTGGAAATTCTTTCTCAGCTATGACATCAAAAACAGGCAAAAGCCAAAAAAAGACAAGTGAGCATGAATTAAAAGGTTTCTGTGTAGTAAGAGTCAACAGAGTACAAAGACAACCAAGAGAAGTGGGGAAATACATGGAAACATACTGCTAGTGTTAATATCCAAAACAATTTAAAAATGCATTCGACTGAATAGCAAAAATACAAACAAAAAAACCCCAAAAGCAATAAAACAAAAACACACCACCCAATTTACAAATGTGTAAAGGGATTGTACAGCCAGTTCTCCAATAAAGACACACAAACAACATACAAAAAGATGCACAATACCTTTAACCACTGGGGAAATGCAAATCACAGTGAGGTGTGACCTCATACCTCTTAGGATAGCTATCAAAAATAAGTAACAAGTTTTGGCAAACATAAAGCAAATGGAGCCACTGTACACCGTTGGGGGAATGTAAATTGGTGGAGCCACTATAGAGGACAATAGAATCGCTCAAAAAATTAAAAATAAAAGGAGTGCCATCAACAAGATGACTGCACAAGACCAGCATTTGCCTGTCACAAAAAAATTCAAAACAATTGGACTGCTATCAATTACATAAAATATTCCAGGAAGGGATCAGAGCTGAGAATCTCTCTAATACACTAAAATAAAAAATGGAGGATTTCTGGAGAGATCAGCATACCTGACACACTGAGAGATCCCTAAAACAAGTAAGGGCAAGGTCTATCAGCATTGGCCATGGAGTGGGTGCCGCCATGGTCCCGAGTGGCCTTCCCTGCAGGGACATCAGCAACTTCACCACTAAGATGATTACCAGCAGCCCTCACTAC